TGAGTATTTGTCACAGTGTAATAGGAAATGCAGCGCTGTCTCTACCTCTCCCCGGGGGCAGAGTGAGCACAGCCTGTCCTCTCTGGGCAGCCAGGTTTGCCTGTGACGACCGGTCTCTATAGCCAGACTGTGCTCACTGAGTCTGTACCTAGTCATTGTTTTCCTCAGTTTTCTATCAGTCACAGTGGTCAGATAGTCTGCCACCATGTACTGTCTGTTTAGAGTGAAATAGCATTGAAGTTTACTTTCATTTTTTGTGGTGTCTTTCCAATAGGTGATATATTTATATTTTTGCTCGTGATGATTTGGTTGGGCCAGATTTTCTGAGTGCTGTCCTGAGGCGCTATGAGGTTGGTTTTGGTTAGTGAACTGAGCCTCAGAACCAGCTGGCTGAGGGGACTCTTCCCTTGTTTCATCTCTTGGCATAATAGAGCTGTGTGAGGGAATGTTTTGGGGTCACTTGTTTTTAGATGGTTGTAAAATTTGATGGCTCTTTTTTCTATTCGAATAAGGAGGGGGTATAGGCCCAATTCTACTCTACATGCGTTATTTTGAGTTTTTCTTTGCACTTGCAGTACAGTCTTGCAAAACTCTGCATGCAGTATTTTATTGCAGTAGTTTGTCCCATTTGGTAAATTCAGTATTAGAGAGCGGACCCCATACTTCGCTGCCATATAGAGCAATTGGTTCTATAACTGATTGGAACATTTTGAGCCAGATTCTAATTGGAATTTCGATTTTAATATTTGTTTTAATGGCATAGAATGCTCTTCTTGCTTTGTCTCTCAGCTCATTCACAGCCATGTGAAAGCTACCTGTGTTGCTGATATTTAGTCCTAGATACGTGTAATTTTTGGTGTGTTCTAATAGAACTGTGTCCAAATAGAATGTATATTTGTCATCCTAATTTCCTGACCTTTTTTGGAATATCATTATATTTGTTTTTTTTAGATCAACGGTCAGAGCCCAGGTCTGACAGAACCTGTGCAGATGATCTAGATGCTGCTGTAACCCCTCCTTAGTGGGAGACAGTAGCACCAGGTCATCTGCGTACAGCAGACACTTGATTTCAGTGTTGTGTAGGGTGAGACCAGGTGCTGCCGATTCTTCTAATGTTTTTGCCAATTCATTAATGTAGATGTTAAATAGTGTTGGACTTATTGGGCAGCCCTGTTTCACTCCACGTCCCTGAGAGAAGTTTGCTTGTTGCCGATTTTAATCGCACATTTGTTTTTAGTGTACATTGATTTAATAACATCATATGTTTTCCCTCCAATACCACTTTCTATTAGTTTGTAAAAAAGACCTTCGTGCCAAATTGAATCAAATGCTTTCTTGAAGTCTACAAAACACGAGTAGATTTTGTGTTGGTTTACTTGTTTGTCAATTAGTGTGGAGGGTGTAAATGTGAGTGTGGAGGGTGTAAATCTCTCTCTCTCTCTCTGTCTCTCCCTGTCTCTCTCTCTCTCTGTCTCTCCCTGTCTCTCTCTCTCTCTCTCTCTCTCTCTCTCTCTCTCTCTCTCTCTCTCTCTCTCTCTCTCTCTCTCTCTCTCTCTCTCTATCTCTGTCTCTCTCTCAATTCAATTTCAATTCAATTTCAATTTAAGGGCTTTATTGGCATGGGAAACGTGTGTTAACATTGCCAAAGCAAGTGAAGTAGATAGTAAACAAAAGTGAAATAAACAATAAATATTAACAGTAAACATTACACTCAGAAGTTTCAAAAGAATAAAGACATTTCAAATGTCATATTATGTATATATACAGTGTTGTAACAATGTGCAAATAGTTAAAGTACAAATGGGAAAATAAATAAACATAAATATGGGTTGTATTTACAATGGTGTTTGTTCTTCACTGGTTGCCCTTTTCTTGTGGCAACAGGTCACAAATCTTGCAGCTGTGATGGCACACTGTGGTTTTTCACCCAGTAGATAAGGGAGTTTATCAAAATTGGGTTTGTTTTCGAATTCTTTGTGGATCGCTGTAATCTGAGGGAAATATGTGTCTCTAATATGGTCATACATTTGGCAGGAGGTTAGGAAGTGCAGCTCAGTTTCCACCTCATTTTGTGGGCAGTGTGCACATAGCCTGTCTTCTCTTGAGAGCCAGGTCTGCCTACGGCGGCCTTTCTCAATAGCAAGGCAATGCTCACTGAGTCTGTACATAGTCAAAGCTTTCCTTAAGTTTGGGTCAGTCACAGTGGTCAGGTATTCTGCCACTGTGTACTCTCTGTTTAGGGCCAAATAGCATTCTAGTTTGCTCTGTTTTTTTGTTTGTTCTTTCCAATGTGTCAAGTAATTCTCTTTTTGTTTTCTCATGATTTGGTTGGGTCTAGTTGTGTTGTTGTTGTTGTCCTGGGGCTGTGTGGGGTCTGTTTGTGTTTGTGAACAGAGCCCCAGGACAAGCTTACTTAGGGGACTCTTCTCTCCCTCTCTCTCTCTCTGTGTCTCTCTCTGTCTTTCTCTCTCTCTGTCTCTCTCTCTCTCTGTGTCTCTCTCTGTCTCTCTCTTTCTCTCTGTGTCTCTCTCTGTCTCTCTCTCTCTGTGTCTCTCTCTTTCTCTCTCTCTCTGTCTCTCTCTCTGTCTCTGTCTCTCTCTGTCTCTCTGTCTCTCTCTCTCTCTGTCTCTCTCTCTCTCACTTTTTCATATTTCCTTTTGTGTTTTTTCTTTCTCTGCCCTCATGAACCTCTCCTCGTTTATCTCTGTTTCCCTCTATCACACACAAACACACCCCTCGCTCCCTCTCTCTCTTCCTCCCTCCTACCTCATTGTCACTTGCGGTGTGCCTGAGAAAAGTGACGGTGGTCTCCATAGCAACTCCTGTATCGGTCTTCACAACAACGTTTGTGTGAAAGGGGGATTTTCCACCAAGGAAAAGGACAGAGGAGCATATGCATGCACACACACACACACACATACACACACACACACACACACACACACTCACTCACATACTCACACACACACACAGAAAACCTGTTGACTGCAATCAGGGCCTCTTTCACACAGATTGCCTGTGAAAATTGTAGATGAGAATGGTTGACTGATTTTGATTGAAATAGAACTAGAGTACGATATCCTTTTTGTTTATCTTTGTGATTTAAGAAGCTGCTTGTACAGGCAAAGCTCATTTTTGTTGAAACTAAAAAGAGACTGGTAGCCACTCAGGCTAGTAGCCATATTGTTGTAGTGTTCTCAGTATACAGTGCCCTCTCTCCACTGAGCAAACTAATAAACACACTTCTACTGCAATATCTCTGCTTCCTTTTGAGAAGGGAATTACCAATCAGCCAGCACACATTAGTGGTCAGAGCAGTCACACACACACACACACACACACACACAGACACACAGACACACACACACACACACACACACACACACACACACACACACACACACACACACACAGCACTCAGTCCTAACTCCTCTCTTTGCTTATCTTAATGACCCAAACAGATGTTTCACCAAGTAGCTCAGACCAAAACACTCCTCTAGCATATGGTGTGTGTCTCCCTCTCCCACTCTCTGTCTGCCTTTCTCCCACTCTCTGTCTGCCTCTCTCCCACTCTCTGTCTGCCTCTCTCCCACTCTCTGTCTGCCTCTCTCCCACTCTCTGTCTGCCTCTCTCCCACTCTCTGTCTGCCTCTCTCCCACTCTCTGTCTGCCTCTCTCCCACTCTCCGTCTGCATCTCTCCTTATCTAACAACACTTACAGTACCCATCGTTCTGTTCATGTTTGCGTTGTGTCTATGTTTAATTTTAGGGCGTAAATGGAATTTGTTTGGGCCATATCATAGAAAACCTCACCCCCTTAACGTGATCCTGTGTCTTCCTCCCTCCCTCCCTCCCTCCCTCCCTCCCTCCCTCCCTCCCATCCTCCCTCCCTCTCTCCAGTTGTCTGTGTCCAGTAGCAGGGATGCTGTGCTGCAGTTATCAGTGTTTGACCACCGGGAGGTGCAGTTTGACAACTTCAGCTCGTGCTCAGTGAACTGGCTGACCTCCAACTACTCCCTGCTGTCCCTGCCCTCACACACACACATGGGCCTGGTAGACTCACACACACCCAGCAGCCACAGCAGACTACACGGTCAGTGTGTTCATTACTTGGTCAGCCTAGTGGAGATCCAGGCACAATAGAGATTGTGTGTGTGTGTGTTGACGGGATTTCAATAGAATCACAATGAGAGGCCGTGTTGTCAGGCCCCTAACATTTTCAGAAGTGGATGCTGATAGGCTGTGTGTGTACATGCTGAGTTCTGATTGGTTGTCTCTGTGTTGCAGGTCGTCAGGTACTCCGCGCCCACGATCAAACAGGGACAGTCACCATCACTGTGGCCCTCACACCTGCACAGGTAATAGTGTGTGTATTAAAACTGTGTGTGTGTTTGTCTTTGCGTATGTATTATAACTGTGTGTGTGTGTGTGTGTGTTGTATTGTAGGACTCATGGGCCACACCTCTGACTGCGTCTGTGCATCTGAGACTGGTGGAGGACGTGCAGTGGGACAAACGTGCTATAACCCTCTATAACCACCCTGACGTCACTGTGAGTGTTATAAAGCCTTTATAACTACTCTGACATCATTGCCAATGCCACTGTGAATAACCTAGCAGATGTAATGCATGACTTTCCCCTCTCTCTCTATCTCCTCTCTCATCTCTATCTCGCTCTCTAGGAGAACCTGACATTGGTTCAGGGTTCAGGACACTTCTTGGTTCGTCTTCAGGACAGAGAGCTGGCCAACATCACTTACCTGGAGAACAGCAATGTTGTACAGGTGGCACACAGAAACTCACATAGTCTTGTACAGCTAACTTTGTGGGGACACACAATTCAGTCACATTCAAAATCCAATTTTCTCTAACCCCTAAACCTAACCCGTACTCTTACCCTTACCCTAACCTTAACCCAAAAACCTAACCTTAACCCTTAACGTAATTCTAACCCTAACACTAATTCAAACCTTAACCCTAAACCCGCTAGAAATAGCATTTGACCTCGTGGGGACAAACAAAATGTCCCCAGTTGGTCAAATTTCTGTTTGTTTACTATTCTTGTGGGGACTTCTGCACAAGAATAGTTAAACACGTCCACCGTTAACACACACACACACACACCATTAACACACACACACACACACACTCACCATTAACACACACACATTGCCCAAAGCAAGGAGTTCTGACTACTGTCCACAGAGTGCCGCTAACTCAGGCTTGTGTTGTCTCTTAGGTGTCTCCCCTGCGGCCCGGCCTCTCCTCCATCCTGGCCTATGACCTGTGTTTGATCTCTGCTGACCCTGCCGTGACCTCCATCTCTGTCTCTGACATCACTGACTTCCAGATAGACTTTGTTGACATTGTGAGTGTCCTCTCATTCTGTTGTATGAAGGAGAGTTGCTCTTTACAACCATCCTGGATTATAAAACACCACATTTCGTACATGCGTGTCTGTATGTGTGTGTGTGTGTCTCTGTGTGTGTCTCTGTGTGTGTGTGTCAGGTGGAGGTAGACCACAGTGCTCTGGTTCGTGTGCGTGTTCTAGACTCTAACAGACAGCCCTTCCTACATCGCTACCTTCCTCTGATGCAGCTCAAACTGACCCCCTCCTCACCTATCGTCACTGTGGAGTGAGTACCTGTGTGTGTGTGTTCATTTTGTCTGTTATGTCCATATTCCTAAGAAACATTTCACTGGCTAGAGAGGTTATGTCTGAAATATGTTGTCAACCTGTTACATAAACGTGTGTGTGTAGGCATGCAGGGCCGTTGGACAGCGTCTCCGTAGGTTACCGTGTGTCAGGTCAGACAGTGGGTGTGGTCAGTCTTCACCTGTCTGCAGTGGACAGCAGTGGGAGTGTACGGACCTCCTCTCACAAACAGCTACAGGTAGACAACCAATCGTAACCCCAGCAGACCAATACACACAACAGACCATAGAACTATAATATACAGTCTATATACAGTCCTAATGTTATGTACATTGTTTTCATATGCAGGTGTACCCCAGATTCACCCTGCAGCCACGGAGTCTGGCACTGACACTGGGCAGCGTACGACAGGTAACCAAATACATATTATCAGTGTTTCTCAAATGATGGTTCAGGAGGAGCCACTGGTGGGTTTCTGTTAACGTTGACACAAAACAGAAATCTCGCCACCATTTCCTAGTTGCTAAAATTCGAATAGTTTGCCTAATTTCAGTTTATGTGCCAAAACAAGCAAGTGTAGTGTAGAGAATCATTGTACCACCTAAACCCCTGTGAAATATATTTTCCATAACCAAACCTGTTTTATTTTCATCTGTTCTATTAGTGCACATTGAACAGATCTGCTTAGACCTTCTTAGACTTGCTTTCAATGAGAATGACAGATCTATAACACACATTTCTATGTGAATTTGGTCGGGTCACCCAAAAAGTTACATATTGCAGGTTTAACTCTGACTCTAGGTTTCTGGCCTTGAACATCTGGTCTTCAACATTGTTTGATTCATCATTGGATCACGTGACAATTCAAAAGGCTTTTAGAAATTCACAACACAAACGATGTTGGGGACAAACTGAATAGGATGCTGATGGAAGTCATGCCACTACTATCTACTGTGTCAATGTCATAACTCCCTCTATCGGCACGCGATCATACACTTACACACACACCTCTCTCAGGTGAAGTGGGAGGGTGGCCCCCACCCCCAGTCCAGTGTGGGCTTCTCTGTGAGTGACAGCCGCATCACCATGGTGACCGACACAGGATTGGTCCGTGGCGTGGCAGTGGGCGTGGTCAAACTCAGAGGGGCGCTGCAGACCGTCACTCAGGACACCGGAGCACTGCTCACCTTCGCACAGGTACACACACACACACACACACACACACACAAACACACACATACTTTTCACTTGTTCATTATCTGGTTGTGTGTGTGTGTGTCAGGATGAGGTGGAGGTGGAGGTGTTTAACCTGACAGGGGTCAGGATCCAGGCCCCTCTGGTCAAACTGTCTGTGGGCACTGAGGTAAGATACAGATAATGTTTGTATTCTCTCTCAAACGTTCTGTTATTGGATGATGAATGAATGTGGCAGGCAGTGTAGTTTGTTTCTGTGTATGTTTGTCAAGTATTTGGGTGCGTATGTGCATGTGATTTAGTAACCCCAGTATGTGTGTGTGTGTGTGTTTAGATGCCAGTGTATGTGATGGGCAGTGACAGTAGTCAGAACCCCTTTGCTCTGGGCAGTGTAGAGTCTGGTCTCTCCTTCCACTGGAGTCTGGGCAAGCTGGGAGTACTGGAGATACAACCACGACACACTCAGGTACGCTTTGTCCCTGTATATGTAGGTTAATGTTTGTCAAACCACTTGGATATGACTGTGTTCACCCTGTGTGTGTGTGTGTGTGTGTGTGTGTGTGTGTGTGTGTGTGTGTGGGTTGTAGGCGGGGGTGACTGTCTCTCCTGCCCATAGTTTCTCTGTGCTGGTGAGGGCGTGGGCTGCGGGCAGGACCAGTCTGAGAGTGACAGTTCAGCTGGCCAACCACACGTCAGCCTCCCACCAGCAGCTCTCTGACGAGATACAGATACTGGTAAACACACTGGGTCCACCTCCTTTTTCACCTCCTGCTTTTGAGACATTTGTTTATGGGTTGTTGTTGAGTAGTTTATGTCTGTGATATGATGACCTCTCCTCTCCACTCTTTACTCATTTCTACTCCTGTCCTCTCACCTCCTCCTCTCTCCTCCTCTCCTCTCTAAGGTGTACCAGGAGATGCAGCTGGCTGTAGGAACCTCCAGATCCATCCTCATGTCTCCCTACTCACACTACGCACTACAGAGCAACAAGTGAGAGCCAGCATGTGTGTGTGTGTTTACAGTGCATTCGGAAAGTATTCAGACCCCTTGACCTTTTCCACATTTTGTTACGTTACAGCCTTATTCTAAAGTGTATTAAATAGTTTTTTCCCCTCATCAATCTACACACAATACCTCATAATAACAAAACAAAAACAGGTTTTTAGACATTTTTGCAAATTTATAGAAAATAAAACACTTAAATATAACATTTACATAAGTATTCAGACCCTTTACTCAGCACTTTGTTGAAGCACCTTTGGCAGTGATTACAGCCTCTAGTCTTCTTGGGTATGATGCTACAAGCTTGGCACACCTGTATTTGGGGAGTTTCTCCCATTCTTCTCTGCAGATCCTCTCAAGCTCTGTCAGGTTGGATGGGGAGCGTCGCTGCACAGCTATTTTCAGGTCACTCCAGAGATGTTCGATCGGGTTCAAGTCCGGGCTCTGGCTGGGCCACTCAAGGACATTCAGAGACTTGTCCCAAAGCCACTCATGTGTTCTCTTGGCTGTGTGCTTAGGGTCATTGTCCTGTTGGAACCTGAACCTTCGCCCCAGTCTGAGGTCCTGAGCGCTCTGGAGCAGGTTTTCATCAAGGTTCTCTCTGTACTTTGCTCAGTTCATCCCTTGATCCTGACTAGTCTCCCAGTCCCTGCCGCTGAAAAACATCCCCACAGCGTACTGCCACCACCATGCTTCACCGTAGAGATGGTTCTAGGTTTCCTCCAGACGTGAAGCTTGGCATTCAGGGCAAAGAGTTCAATCTTGGTTTCATCAGACCAGAGAATCTTGTTTCTCATGGTCTGAGAGTCCTTTAGGTGCCATTTGGCAAACTCCAAGTGGGCTGTCATGTGCCTTTTACTGAGGAGTGGCGTCCGCCTGGCCACTCTACCATAAAGGCCTGATTGGTGGAGTGCTGCAGAGAATTGGTTGTCCTTCTGGAAGGTTCCCATCTCCACAGAGGAACTCAGGAGCTCTGACCATCGGGTTCTTGGTCACCTCCCTGACCAAGGCCCTTCTCCCCCGATTGCTCAGTTTGGCTGGACGGGCAGCTCTAGAAAGAGTCTTGGGGGTTCTAAACTTCTTCCATTTAAGAATGATGGGGGCCACTGTGTTCTTGGGGACCTTCAATACTGCAGAATGTTTTTGGTACCCTTCCCCAGATCTGTGCCTCGACCCAATCCTGTCTCTGAGCTCTACAGACAATTCCTTTGACCTCATGGCTTGGTTTTTGATCTGACATGCACTGTCAACTGTGGGACCTTATATAGACAAGTGTGTGCTTTTCCAAATCATGTCCAATCAATTGAATTTACCACAGGTGGACTCCAATCAAGTTGTGGAAACATCTCAAGGATGATCAATGGAAACAGGATGCACCTAAGCTTAATTTTGAGTCTCATAGCAAAGGGTCTGAATACTTATGTAAATAAGGTATTTATAAATTAGCAAAAATTTCTACAAACCTGTTTTCGCGTTGTCATTATGGGGTGTTGTGTGTAGATTGATGAGGAAAATAAGGCTGTAACGTAACAAAATGTGGAAAAAGTCAAGGGGTCTGAATACTTTCCGAATGCACTGTATGTCTGTACTCATGCGTGTGTGATTGTGTGTTTATGTCTGTACTCATGCGTGTATGATTGTGTTTTTCAGAGACACGATCTGTCCCGTGCGGTACGCCCTGTGTCAGTGTGTGAAAGGGGAGGGACTTGTAACCATGGACAGCCAGGGCATTCTGAGGGCGGGGCCTGACACAGGATCCGCCCTGCTGGAGGTAATCGCTATGGAGACCTGTGGGGTCAACCAGACCCTGCTCATCAGCGTCCGGGTAAGTTGGTCACTTGTGTCCTTCGCAGGGATCTATTCTAAAGTAAACCTGGTGAGAAACTCAGCATCCACAGTTGACCCTAAGGACTGGGTCATCACTATCTGACCATGCTGGAGAGTACAAAATAGTATTTGTGTGTTGTGTTTGCCAGGTGTCTCCAGTGTGGTTTGTCAGGCTGTTCAGTGTGTCCAGTCTGTACAGTGTTGGAGGGGGAGGCCTGCCTGCCTTTCCCCTGGGCTGGACCATCAGAGTCAGGGCTCTCTGCTACGACAACCTGGGACAACAGTTCAACGCCCATAACACACTCACACACATTACCACCAACAGGTAATACACACTCTCACATTACCACCAACCGGTAACACACACACTCTCACATTACCACCAACAGGTAACACACACTCTCACATTACCACCAACCGGTAACACACACTCTCACATTACCACCAACCGGTAACACACACTCTCACATTACCACCAACCGGTAACACACACACTCTCACATTACCACCAACCGGTAACACACACACTCTCACATTACCACCAACCGGTAACACACACTCTCTCACATTACCACCAATCGGTAACACACACTCTCACATTACCACCAACCGGTAACACACACTCTCACATTACCACCAACAGGTAACACACACTCTCACATTACCACCAACAGGTAACACCCACTCTCACATTACCACCAACAGGTAACACACACACATTACCACCAACCGGTAACACACAATCTCTCACATTACCACCAACCGGTAACACACACTCTCACATTACCACCAACCGGTAACACACACACATTACCACCAACCGGTAACACACAATCTCTCACATTACCACCAACCGGTAACACACACACATTACCACCAACAGGTAACACACACTCTCACATTACCACCAACAGGTAACACACACACATTACCACCAACCGGTAACACACAATCTCTCACATTACCACCAACCGGTAACACACACTCTCACATTACCACCAACCGGTAACACACACACATTACCACCAACCGGTAACACACAATCTCTCACATTACCACCAACCGGTAACACACACACTCTCACATTACCACCAACAGGTAACACACACTCTCACATTACCACCAACCGGTAACACACACACACACACTCTCACATTACCACCAACCGGTAACACAACACACACAGTATATAGTCAAATCTCTCTCTGTCTGTTTTATTTTCCTTGAAGCTGGGATCCTTAATGGTGAAACTGCCGCGTCCATTTGGGATATTACAACAACAAAGAAGTTACTGGAAACAACCAACACTGTTTTTTCCCTCAGACATCATTGCCCGCGCGATAGAACAGCAGAATATGTAGAGATAATTTTTACCATGCGGCCGGAGTCTGCTCTCCTCCGTTTCAACAGCAAAACAAAAACAATAACAAAGGTGCTGGGGGCCAACAGTGGTGTTGTTTCCCCTAATGTGGATTCCAGCTTTAAACACTCTCTCTCTCTCTCTCTCTCAGGGATGACTTGGTGCAGGTGACTCCAGACTCAGACAGTCATTCCTTCCTGGTCCAGACTGTGTCTGGCGGTCTGACAGTCCTAGGGGTGCAGGCGGACCCCACCAACCCCTCCCTGAGTGACTACACCCCCCTCCCTGTCCTCCCCGTCATCTCTGCCCCCCCACACACACTCAGGCCCGGAGACACACTTTGCTTCAACACCCCCCTGACAGGACCGCACGGTGAGACACACACGCACACTCAGGCCCCCCCCCACACACACACACACACACACACTGTGGCCGGTACTGTAGATTGGGAAAGGGTTTACCTAGTCAGCTGTACAACTGAATGCATTCAACCGAAATGTGTCTTACGCATTTAACCCAACCCCTCTGAATCAGAGAGGTGCGGGGGGCTGCCTTAATCGACGTCCATGTCATCGGCGCCCAGAGAGCAGTTGTTGTTGGGGGTTAACTGCCTTGCAGAACGACAGATCGTTACACCTTGCCAGCTCTGGGTTCGAACCAGTAACCTTTCGGTTACTAGGTCCTAACCGCTTGGCTACCTGCCACCTAGACACACACTCAAAGAATCATAACTGAGAAGAAGGAGATAAGTGATGCTTTTAATCATCATTGTAAATAGTGGTTTAATTTACCCTGGTCAGTCAATCGACTGCTCTTCCCTCTGCCAGCCTCTAGCTGACTCGACGGTTAACACATCAACTTCTAGTGAATCTTTGTTTTCATTTCAGTAATTTACTGTCTGTGATGTGCTAGATGGCTTGCTTAAGATTGATGTTTTAAAAAATCCACGGGGGCTGATATGCTTCATCCATTTTTGCTGTAGCTTTCTGCCCACCTGATTGCTGAATCATTAATCCATATTTTTAACCTTACGATTATATCTTGTACGATCCCCAAGGTTTGGAAGGCGGCCCATGTACGCCCTCTTCACAAAAGTGGTGATCCTTGTGACCTAAATAATTATCGCCCTATTTCTAAACTTTCTTGCCTAGCTAAAATATTAGAATCCTTGATTAATTCTCAGCTAAGACGTTTCTTATCTTTGAAATGTATTCTAAATGTACATCAATCGGGTTTTAGACCAGGTCATAGTAGTATCTCTGCTGTGGTTAATTGTATGGATAAAAGGCAACATTGTGCTGCCCTCTTCATTGACCTGTCAAAGGCTTTCGATACTGTTAATCACTCACTGCTAATTCAGAAGCTTGACTCAATTGGCCTAGACCAGGCTGCATGTAACTGGTTTAAACATGACTTGACAGATAGAACTCAATGTGTCTACTGATGGTGTTAAATCAGGTTTCCTGGATATTATGAAAGGTGTCCCGCAGGGGGAGATTTTGGGTCCTGTACTTTTGACTGTTTACATTAACAAAATCGACTTGTCTGTAATACATTTTAACCTGCACTTGTATGCCGATGAAACTGTTGTGTATGCTATTGCCCCCACGGTTGACCAGGCTCTATCTGAACTACAGTCTGCCTTCATTGTATTACATAAATACTTTATTGACCTGAAATTAGTATTGAATGCAGGTAAAACTAAGTACATGTTGATGGGAGAGCATAATATACAAGGAAATTCTCAAAGCTGCTAATGAGAACCTTGATGACCTTGTACCTAGCCGGGGGGGATTCCGGTGGGGTACCCTCACCCAGGTAGTGGCAGTGCTGGCAACACTGGCTTCAGTAACCCATGGGGAGGGGGTCACACTCGGGCAATCAGAGAGGGGGCATATTATTGTGGCCCTGGTGGCACAAAATAATCAAAGGTCTGACTGCACGGAGATGCTTGGGGAAAATGGTTACAACGCCAGAGGGTTTGTGTCTCAGGGGAAGAGGGTGGCTCTGATCTCCATCACCTAGGACTTGACATAGGTTAATCAAATCTCAAATTTTTGTCAATTTTTGCTCAATCTTGCATGCTTTCTCAAACAGCTGTAACTGTATATGCATTCGTAAATCAGGTCCTTTCTTGATATTTCTTGATATCTATTGTTTACAGGAAACTCATTCAACAATTCTAGATGGAATCATGAATGTCATGGATACATTATTACAGACAAGTTGTGTGGAAAAAGGACTGGGGGTGCGAAATATACTTCTCCCATGGGCAAAGAAACTCAAAAGGGGTGATGATATTAACAGTAATTTCGATCCGAATGTGCAAATTGTCCAAACAGATCCGCAAGGTAGATGGATGATTTTAAATATGTTATTGGACCATAAACAGATATGGCTCATTAACCTTTATGGACCAAATAATGATGATCCACACTTCTTTGACAATATATATAATAAATTATCAACACTGCAAGCAATACAAGACTCTATTATTATGGTGGGAGATTATAATACTGTTTTAAATAGCTCAATGGACCGTAAAGGAAATCACACTACAAACTATCACCCTCATGCTCTTAGGAAATCATGAATGTCATGGATACATTAGAACTAGTAGATACAGTGGGGAAAAATGTTTTTTGTCAGCCACCAATTGTTAAAGTTCTCCCACTTAAAAATATGAGAGAGGCCTGTAATTTTCATCATAGGTACACGTCAACTATGACAGACAAATTGAGAAAAAAAAATCCAGAAAATAACATTGTAGGATTTTTAATGAATTTATTTGCAAATTATGGTGGAAAATAAGTATTTGGTCACCTACAAACAAGCAAGATTTCTGGCTCTCACAGACCTGTAACTTCTTCTTTAAGAGGCTCCTCTGTCCTCCACTCGTTACCTGTATTAATGGCACCTGTTTGAACTTGTTATCAGTATAAAAGACACCTGTCCACAACCTCAAACAGTCACACTCCAAACTCCACTATGGCCAAGACCAAAGAGCTGTCAAAGGACGCCAGAAACAAAATTGTAGACCTGCACCAGGCTGGGAAGACTGAATCTGCAATAGGTAAGCAGCTTGGTTTGAAGAAATCAACTGTGGGAGCAATTATTAGGAAATGGAAGACATACAAGACCACTGATAATCTCCCTCGATCTGGGGCTCCACGCAAGATCTAACCCCGTGGGGTCAAAATGATCACAAGAACGGTGAGCAAAAATCCCAGAACCACACGGGGGGACCTAGTGAATGACCTGTAGAGAGCTGGGACCAAAGTAACAAAGCCTACCATCAGTAACACACTACGCCGCCAGGGACTCAAATCCTGCAGTGCCAGACGTGTCCCCCTGCTTAAGCCAGTACATGTCCAGGCCCGTCTGAAGTTTGCTAGAGTGTATTTGGATGATCCAGAAGAGGATTGGGAGAATGTCATATGGTCAGATGAAACCAAATAGAACTTTTTGATAAAAACTCAACTCGTCGTGTTTGGAGGACAAAGAATGCTGAGTTGCATCCAAAGAACACCATACCTACTGTGAAGCATGGGGGTGGAAACATCATGCTTTGGGGCTGTTTTTCTGCAAAGGGACCAGGACGACTGATCCGTGTAAAGGAAAGAATGAATGGGGCCATGTATCGTGAGATTTTGAGTGAAAACCTCCTTCCATCAGCAAGGGCATTGAAGATTAAACGTGGCTGGGTCTTTCAGCATGACAATGATCCCAAACACACCGCCCGGGCAACGAAGGAGTGGCTTCGTAAGAAGTATTTCAAGGTCCTGGAGTGGCCTAGCCAGTCTCCAGATCTCAACCCCATAGAAAATCTTTGGAGGGAGTTGAAAGTCCGTGTTGCCCAGCGACAGCCCCAAAACATCACTGCTCTAGAGGAGATCTGCATGGAGGAATGGGCCAGAATACCAGCAAGTGTGTGAAAACCTTGTGAAGACTTACAGAAAACGT